AATAGTTTGTTCAGCGCTGTACATTACAAAGGGGGACAGAACATGTGACAGAACAATAACAATACAATGCAAAACATGAGGGGATTGAGGGCCCTGCTCTTTCAAGCTTACAATCTAGGAGGGAGGGGATAGTGGTACAGGAGGAGATAGCTTGGGGGATGGAGTGGTAGGAAGAGTGGAGGAGGTCGGTCAAGTTAGCAAGGGGTGGGGTAGGCTTCCCTGAAGAGAGGGGTTTTCAGGGTGCGCCTAAAGGAGAGGAGAGTAGGTGATAATCTGATGGGTTGGGGCAGGGAGTTCCAGAGGATGGGTGACACCCTGGAGAAGTCCTGGAGGGGGGCATGGGAGGAGGAGACCAGGGAACTAGAGAGAAGGAGGTCTTGTGAGGAGCGGAGTGTGCGTGCTGGGCGGTACTTGGATATTAGGTCAGTGATGTAGTTCGGGGCAGTATGGTGGACAGCTTTGTACGTCAGCGTTAGGATTTTGAATTTGATCTGTTGCGCAATCGGAAGCCAGTGGAATACCTGATGATCTTGCCAGAAATGCAGTTTTCTTGTCACTTCCTGTGAGCTGCATACAAGAATATCTTCCTTTCTAGCTATCTTCTGTAAACTACTAATTGCCCTCCCCCCATGTAATGGAGATAATGAGATACTGACATTTTTGTAGTCCATATCTGGAGAGCAGCTTAAGATGACAACCATGGCTCCCTCCATAAACACAGTGGGGAATTGAAGTAGCCACCCAGGGACAGGATGTGTGTTATTTGTAACAGCTGATTTGCTGATTGTGACCACTGATATTTGCTATTTTTGATTTTTATGTACACAACTGATTGCTGTGCCTCCTGGTTTAGTTATGCAGCCCAATAATTGGGCTTTACTGTTCCTCATTGTCTAGTCTGACTGACAGCAATCTCTAAATGTGTAATTTTGTAATTAATTGAATCTCAGCAACCTGGGTGTTAAAGCACTTGAGGACAATCTAAAATGTGTAGTTAACAGCTGAAAATATTTACACATGTTGGTTTCTCTTTATTAGGTTTATATGGATATGAAGGTCATTTGCAAGGTTGCTATAAATGAAACACATTGGTAAACAATGCTTTTATTACATATGTATTGTAGCTATTAAAGCAAAAGTAGGAACAGATATAAAAAGCTGCCCAGCTATGTATTTATTTTGTTGTTTATTTAATATTTATTATTTTTAGTTGAAATATTAAAAATATTTAACTTTTAATTAGAAAAGCTTGATTGGCAATATAAAGAACAATTTCAAGATACATGTTAACAAGCAGCATGTGACATAGACCACGAGATCATAGAATGATGTAAGGACTAAGTCAATCTTCACCAAGCAAAACAAAAAAAAAATATACAAATATATCAAATACAACAAATACTTATAAATAAGTATAAATCAATTGTAGAAAAATAGTATACCATATAGACAGCTAATAAAAGGAACAACTGAAATCAATAATTATCTATTGTATTCAATGAGAATGTAAATGACATCTATGTATTTATTTAACAAAATATTTAAAGGGTTACTAAACTCCAAACCAAAAATATGATCTATTGCAGCTTACCAATCATTAGATGAGGTGCCTATATTAGTTTTCTTTTCTTAGGCTTTTTCCCCCCTCTGTTTTCACCTGGTGATCTGGCAAATAACACTTCCGGTATTATCCTAGGTTATTATCCTAGGTATTATCCTAGGTTCACACCTAAGTGTTTTCCTCAGTGTTTTGCCTTTTGCAGAAACGCACTACAGTCCATTTAACATGATTTCCTATGGGACACATTCACATCTCCGTGTTTTCACCCGGTGCATTTTTGGAAAAAGTTGTGTTTTTGGTTCTATAGACTTCAATGGAAATGCTGCAGAAAAGCATGTAGTGCATTTTTGCTGTGTTTTTTTTATGTGTTTTGCGTTTTAAATCTGACTAGCAACAAGAAAAAAATTTAAAAAACACATCAAAAATGTGGCAAAAATGCAGGTGCAAAAACGCAAAACACAATGCAGAAACTGATCAAACGCAAACTGCATAGGTGTGAACCTAGCCTTAGAGTGCCCCTACTATGCATGAAGGAGCACAGGGGGCACCTTTTGGTGAGCAACACTGCCATTCTGTGGGAAGGGGAGTGTTAGATGTACTAGCAGATTTACAGTTGTGGCCAAAAATTATTCAACCCCCACTGAAATTGAGTGTTTTGGCCAGTTTGACATTGCTTTTGATCATTCAGTCATCTTGCTTACATTTACATTAAAGAGGCACTTGTAGGTCAGACAAATATAACATAACAGTTATAATGAAATAACCACAAATGTCTTTTCTGTGCTCACAGCATTATCAGTTTTATTCAACCCCCAAGTGACATTCAATCTTAGTACTTAGTACAGCATCCTTTTACAGTTATAACAGCTTTTAAACGTGAAGCATAGCTTGACACAAGTGTCTTGCAGCGATCTAACGGGTATCTTCGCCCATTCTTCATGGGCAAAGGCCTCCAGTTCAGTCACATTCTTAGGCTTGCGCACTGCAACTGCTTTCTTTAAGTCCCACCAGAGGTTCTCAATCGGATTTAAGTCTGGTGACTGCGATGGCCACTCCAAAATGTTCCAGCCTTTCCTCTGCAACCATGCTCTAGTGGACTTGGAGGTATGCTTGGGATCATTGTCCTGTTGAAAGGTCCAACGTCTCCCAAGCCTCAGGTGTGTGACGGACTGCATCACGTTTCCATCCAATATCTCCTGGTACTGAAGAGAATTCATGGTACCTTGCACACGCTGAAGCTTCCCTGTACCTGCAGAAGCAAAACAGCCCCAAAGCATGATTGACCCTCCACCATGCTTCACAGTAGGCAAGGTGTTCTTTTCATCATAGGCCTTGTTCTTCCTCCTCCAAACATAGCGTTGATCCATGGGCCCAAACAGTTCTAATTTTGTTTCATCAGTCCACAGAACACTATCCCACAACTTTTGTGGTTTGTCCACATGGCTTTTGGCATACTGCAGTCGACTCTTCTTATTCTTTGGAGACAGCAAGGGGGTACGCCTGGGAGTTCTGGCACGGAGGCCTTCATTACGCAGTGTGCGTCTTATTGTCTGGGCTGAAACTTCTGTACCCACATCTGACAAATCTTTTCTCAGTTCCTCAGCAGTCACACGGGGACTTCTCTCCACTCTACGCTTCAGGTAGCGCACAGCAGTCGAAGTCAGCATCTTCTTTCTGCCACGACCAGGTAGCGTTTCAACAGTGCCCTTTGCCTTGAATTTGCGAATGATGCTTCCTAAGGTGTCTCTTGGTATGTTTAACATCTTTGCAATCTTCTTATAGCCATTGCCCTTCCTGTGAAGAGAAATCACCTCTTCTCTTGTCTTCCTGGACCATTCTCTTGCCTTCACCATGTTTGTAACCACACCAGTAAATGTCTAGAAGGAGCTGGCTGAGTATCACAGTCATTTTAAAGCTGCCTAATTGGTGCTTATTATGCTTGATTGCTGCTCGGTGACATCCACAGTGTTTTCAATACCTGATGGAAAGCACCTGTATGAACCTCTGTTCTTCAGAGTGGTAGTCTTTAAGGGGTTGAATAATTGTGGCAATGAAGAAACCACATAAGAACCATTTACTACTGTATTACATAAACAATTGATGTCATTTTAGTTGCATTTGGGTAGTTACAACGTCCTTGTAGGATTTGATTCTGAATACAATTCCAAATGTACACTATAGTCCCTAAACCCCTTTACAGCATTGGGGGTTGAATAATTTTGGCCACAACTGTAGATACATTAAAACATTAGACTAAAAAATGTAACTCAACCTTTAGCTCACATTTTACAAGCAGTCGCAGCAAACTTTTTTTTTTCCTTTTGGGATAAAGGTTTTTCCTAAATAAATACATGATGATCATTGTAAGCAACCCTGTCAGTGGTACATGGTTTGTTTCATCCCTCCAACTGCAATATCTGCAAAAGAGCTTGTTCTTTTGAAAAACAACAGACTTACTGACCAGATCACCAGATGAAAATAGAAGAAAGAAAGGCTAAAAACGAAAATAATGCAGACATCATATCTAAGAATTGATAACCTGTAATATACCAAATGTTTGCTTTTTAATTTAATATCTATTTAAATACCACCTATATGTCTTTATATTAGTCTCTTTCAGTGTTCTGCACAGTAGGATTTAGACTGGGATAAAATCCAAGCAGTACTTTATTGCACTGGAAGCTGGTTGAGTTCAGGGTTCACTTTAACAGAGTGTTGCTGCTCCCTCATTATCCAATCACAGTCTGGGGCAGTCTTTAACCTAGCTGTATTGCTTTAACTGCAGTGAATAAAAGTGAGATTAAAAAAAAAATGTATATATATATATATATATATACTGTGCAAATAGCTGTTTGTCTTTACTTCAACTTTAACTGAAAAAAACAAAAAGTTGAGAAATATTGTCATGCCCTGTGTCAAGCTACAAGGAAATGTGCCTCCCCCCCCATCTGGCACAGACATTTATCCTTGGCTTATGTCATCACCATGGTAATCCACCAAGCAATATTTTTCTTTGGGCTTTTTTTAAGTGATGGAATGCTGCCCAACCCTTTGCAGTAACTTGCAGAATGAATATTTCACTGACTTATGTTACTCCAGCCAGGGAGATTTACATGGGGATAGGCTGAACCTCTTAGAATGATTCCCTTTAATGTCATTCAACACACATTTACTAGCCAAAGTCTGATGAGTTTAACTAGTTGCCGACCGCAGATAGCCGAATGACGGCTAAACTGCGGCCGGCCAGTTCTGAGTGGACGTCATATGACGTCCTCCCAGAACGCGCTCTCCTGCACGCCCCAGGGGGCGCGCACCCGGCGATCTCCGTGATCGCTGTGTCCTACGGACACAGCTGATCACATGATGTGGTAAAAGGCCAATCATACCGGCCTTTTACCACGTGATCAGCGGTGTCCAATGACACGCTGATCACAGGGAAATGCAAGTGCTGGTTCTCGGCTGCACTTTCCTCACGCTGTCAGATCGTGAGGAAAGTACTGCCGAGAACCGGCAGTTGTCAGAGCGGGGATCGGCACCGATCATCAGGGCACTGATGATCAGTGCCCTGATGATCGGTGCCCAGCAATGCCACCCGCAAGTTCCGCCCACCTGTGCCCAGCAGTGCGCCCACTAGCTCCGCCCACCTGTGCCCAGCAGTGCACCCACCTGTGCCCAGCAGTGCGCCCACTAGCTCCGCCCACCTGTGCCCAGCAGATCACCCACCTGTGCCCAGCAGTGCACCCACCTGTGCCCAGCAGTGCACCCACCTGTGCCACTCTGCAGTGTCACACACCTGTGCCCAGAAGTGCCACCTACCTGTGCCCAGCAGTGCCACCCACCTGTGCCCACCCACCTGTGCCCACCAGTGCCACCCACCTGTGCCCACCCACCAGTGCTGCCCACCAGTGCCACCCACCAGTGCAGCCCAGAAGTGCTGCCAGTCAGTGCCACCAGTCAGTGCCCAGGGGTTGTGTGCCAGTCAGTGCCGCCAGTCAGTGCTCAGCAGTGATGCCAGTCAGTGCCGTCTATCAGTACCCATCATCAGTGTCACCTATCAGTGCCGCCTATCAGTGCTGCATATTAGTGCCGCCTATCCGTGACACCTCATTAGTGCTGTCTATCAGTGCCGCCTATCCGTGCCACCTCATTAGTACTGTCTATCAGTGCCCTTTAGTGCTGCCTATCAGTGCCCATCAGTGCCGCCTATCAGTGCCCATCAGTGCTGCCTCATCAACGCACATCAGTGAAGGAGAAAAAATACCTGTTTGAAAAATTTTATAATAGAAACAAAGAAACTTTTTTTTCAAATTTTTTGCACTTTTTTAATTTATAGCGCAAAAAGTAAAGCGCCCAGTGGCGATTAAATACCACCAAAAGAAAGCTCTATTTGTGAGAAAAAAATTATCAAAATTTCATATGGGTACAATGTTGCATGACCGCGCAATTTTCAATCAAAGTGCGGCAGCGCTGAAAGCTGAAAATTGGCCTGGTAAATAAGGGGGTTTAAGTGCCTGGTAGGCAAGTGGTTAAGGACATCATTTTTAGGGTATGGCTGGAAACAAGCTTCCTGTATGAGTATCCTCTAGGAAGTACTGGTCCGTCCCTCGTATAGTGGGTCTGCAGGCAGCCTAGAGAAAATTCACAGCATCCAGCCAGCAGCACTTCCGTCTTCACATGGAGTTGAACAGTATTAGATCAGGATCAACTACTAGGATCAAAACTCTCCAGTTTTAGGAAATCAACCCCATGGTGTCAGCCAAAGCAGCTATGGGGACAGATACTCACCCAAAGTTGACCAACCAGTAGTTCTGCCAGCATACTTTTCCAAAAAGCAAAAATCATAAAACCAACGGCTCTGCAACAGTCATGTGATTGGTACAAAAGGTTGCTGGGAACCTGCGAATGCACAAATGTGCTGCAGGGCTTGCTCACATGCAGGGGTGGGGAGAACATCTCACCTAGGCAAGAAAAAAAGAAGTTGCTGTTTTGCAGCACAAATAAAGTCTATTTGAAAAAAAAAAAAAAAAATACATCCATTTACAATACAAGCCTGCACCAGATGCTATTTAGGGTGAAAGTCTGCTTTAAGTAGCAAAGTATGAGTGTGTGGTGATTTAATTCCTGGAAGGTCCATGGCATAGCATTTTGGTTGTGAGTCACGCAGCCATTCACACTCAAGTGTGTTCTGACATATTCTAACTTGCACTCACCTGGGTCTCAGACCAGTTGACTCAGTCTTTACAGAGTAGTAGAAGAAATAATGTTGTGCTGTTGCCGGAAAAGGAGTAACAGGAATCTGGAGCTTTGAATTAACATCAAACTGTGCATGAAATTTGTCAAAAGTGCAGGGCAAACTTTAGCTCTGTTACAACAGGCTTCATGGAACATTCCATGAAGAAATCAAATGTAATTGAATGGCATAGGCAGTTTTTAAGGAGGGGCGGGAAGATGTCCACGATAACACAAGACGTGGGAAGCCAAAAACACAAAGGACATATACAAATGTAGTTTGCTCAGATCCGAGATTGAGTGTGCAAACGATTCTTGTGGCTGGATCACATGTGTATGAGAACATTACACGTACAGTATATGCATATCTATCAGCCTGTGGTTAGGGGCAAATGACTCTGGATGCATCCCTAATCATATGAGTAGACTTATGATGAAAGGCATGTCACTCGCAATTATTATACAGGATTTATTGCCAACAGTTTGCTCAGCAATTTACAAAATAAAGGGAGACAATACAGCAACAATACAGTTCAATACAAGAGGGTTAGGAGTGCCCTGCTCCTCAGAGCTTACAATCTGGTCAGGTCTATTATGTGCTAGCTGAAATTAAGGGTATGTCATGGACTTGGGGCTGCAGGAGAGCCATTGCCCAGAGAACCCTGTGTGTTTTTTATTGTGTTTTTAAGCTATCTAGAAGGAGCTGGTCACTAGGTGACTTTTATGCCCATCCAGACTTCCATCTAGCCTGGGCACTCCATCAGCGCTTCACCGGGTCCTAGCCACATTTGCATGGAACTATATAGCGGCTAGAGCCAGTAGGAATACCTGCTAACTTTACTAGGAGTCGATTCAAAGGCCCATTATTCTGCCACATTGCTCCTTGGGAACCTCGTAATATTAGCGTTACATCTCACTGGGGTTTGGTAACCACAGCTATGGAACTGTTGCCCAGTTACTCTATGAACTGCACCTGGGCAACTTTAACCAGCTTTCACCCTGGCCCCGTCCACAGAATGTCACTTTTGGGACCATATCATCTGGGGATCCAGGGCTTTCAAATGGTATCTCAGGACTGCCACCACTCCCATGTGATCACCCCAAAAGAACTATTATTGTAACCTATGGCTTCCTATGTATAATGTATTCCTATGTGGGCGTCAGACTGTCTGAGGTGGGCATTATCTGTGATAACGTGATTAGTTCTTATCTGATGGTTTTGTGTATAAATGCATTGTGTTTTTCTAAATAAGCAGTTCTTCTTGTTTAATCCAAAAACTGGTGTTGCCTAGTTCCTTGGGGTAGCTATAGCTATAGTCACTTGCCTTGTGTTCCAGATCTTTGGAAGCAGATTCTTGGCAGAGATACTCAGTCAGGGTGTCCAGAGTCCATCACAAGGTATTTCCATTTTTTTTTGCCTTAGTTGCATTGGTCTAGCTTGGACCAAAGTAAGTGGGCATATTCATACCTGGCCGATTCCAATGGAAGTGCAGTAGCTGCCACTACTATAATGATCCTTGCTGTCTTCCAGATCCTGTGCCAAGCAGGTGCCATGCTACATAATAACCACAGGGGGTTGTTTGCTTTCCACAGACACCATTCTGAGAATGCCTTGTATTTTTCTGAATACAAGGTGAAGATTTTGATGTCATTACCATGCCTCTCCACCTTGTCCTTGTCTTCGAATGCTTTGCATACATTAAAAAAGGCAAAGCATTCTCTGATTGGCACAAGTAGGATACACCCTGTGGTTACACAATGCAGCAGGGCAGTTACTTGGCACCAGAATCAGAAGACCATGGTGATCGGTGTAGTAGTGGCAGCTACTACATCAATTCTCTTCTTCCACAGGGTTGGCATGTATGGAATATGTATACTTACATTGCACCAAGTTGGAGTGATGAAACACCATCAACACATTTTATGGTATAGGGCAAGCCACTTCTTTAGGCTTGGTGTACATGAGACCTTTAGCTGGTGAGTTGTGTGTATACTCATAGAGTCAAAAGAAGCTTTGCACCTCCTGGTCTATTTTCAGCAGTGGTGTTGCATGCACTCTTGCCTTTTTGTCATTCCTTTTTCTGGCCTTCACCCACTGCTATGCCAAATATTACAGGAGTTTAAACAGACACATGCCTAGGTTCTGCCTCTAAGCACTACAAAGTAATTGAAGCTGGCCATAAGCGCTCCCTGCCATCTTCTTTTTTTTTTTTTTTTTTAAATGTTAGCATGAATTGTATAAACTCTATGTTGTGTGACTGAAAGGACTGACTGCAAGTCTGGTAAAAACCAGCCGCCAAAGTCTAATTCTGAAAATATGTGACACTACCAAACTATTTATTTATACAGCAAATAAATATCCTACAAGTTTATATGCATTTTAATATTTTCTGGATATTAAAGCAGAATGAAAGGCAAAACTTTTTTCTATTTTGGAAAGAGTAAGGGAGAGTTTTTTACCATCTATGTCCCATTTGGAGAGACTTCCCTACATGTCCTGTTCCATAACCAAAACAGGAAGTGAGAGGAAATCCCTCCAAAGTGAGGGAATCCCAGGGTATCACCAGGGTCACAGAACATCCCTCTATTACTTTTCTGGGGACAACCCAAAATCACCCTGATGGGGGCACAGACAGCAATAAAAAACAGAGGCAGTGGCATAACTACTGGGGTAGCAAAGGTCACACTTGCTACCAGGCCCTGATGTTCCGCCACCATGGAGAGACCCCAAGACAGCAAGAAGGGAGCTCGCTGTAGACCATAGTAAAAGTGTTCTCACCATGGGAATAAGGGACCCAGGATCAATGGGAAGGGCCCTGGCTGGAGGCCCTGAAGGTTCTAGTCATGTCTCTGACCACAGGTGTTCTAATCCCTCTCAGCTCTGTCAAAACTAAACAAAAAAAGTTTTGTGTTGTAGGTATACTTTGAATCCCAATTGAAACGTCCAATTTATAGAGTACAAAAGTTTGTTCTTTGCCAGAAGCTGCCCTTGCTCTGTGTGGAAGTGGTGGTCTCTCTGCAGAGATCCAACACACCCCCTGCTGAGTTAGACCCTATACCTCCTTCATCAACAAAGCTCTTGCTCCCCACTGATTGGCTCTGGTTTTAACTTAGCAGGATGCATGTTGGCAGAACAGGGGAACCACAAGTTGCCAATTTAGATTTTTATTATCTCTTATGTGTTAGCATGATGTGGCTGATGCCAAAGCGCAACACTGGGCCCCACCCTGAAAAGATAACTTATTTTCACCCAACAGGAACATCTGTCCAGACAATAACTACAAAATCACTTTGAGGGAAATAGCGTTGAACACTAATTTGTCTCCACCAGTTCTTTTATATATGTTACACTTTACTCTGCAGCCCCAAAGGCTGCCCGAAGGGAAGCTGCTGAATACTTCACAAGGCCTCGCAATCCTGTGGTCCAGGCCCAGTCCATAGGAGAGGGGTGGACTTCTGCCCCTATAGGGGATCATGTGGGCCCCCCTTGCCCAAACTCAAAAAAGCTATGTATAGGGGCATCTCATGGGGCCCCCTAATGACCCCCGGGCCCTCGGGCAGTGCTGAAAAAGCCCCACAGGACTGTATCACTTAGGGCACTAATCTAATATTGTGCACA